TTTAGACATTTCTCCCCTGTGCTAGATTTTGCATTCTTTTTGACAACTACATATTTCATTGTATAGCAATGCCACAATTTATTCAACATTTCCCCTAATATTTTTGCCGTTACAAACAGTGCTGCAAATTTTAGTCATGGAGTTGCTGGCTCAGAGGGTATGTAGATGTTTAAAGGCTTTTCATATTCATTATCAAATCACCCTCCAGAAATCTGACATTCATTTAAACTCCCATCCGTGTGTATGACCACACTGGCTTCTTCTCCACACTCTGCAACAATGAAATCACACATTGTTTTCAACTTTGTCTGATAGATACAAATGGTATCTCTTTGCCACTTTAATTTGCCTTTAATGTTAGTTAGTTCTGGTGGTGTTGTATGACAAGCACCAGACTGCTAAACACACACTCCGTGGGAGAAAGAGGAGGCTTTCTGCTCCTGTAAAGTGCTGTTGAGTTGGTTCCGAAGCATTCCGAGGAGTGGCTGGTGAGTTGAACCACTGACCTTGCGGTTCAAACGGACCTTGCAGTCTAGTGCATTAACCTACTGCGCCACACCAGGACTCCTCAAGAACCATATAGAGGGTCGCTATGGGTAGGAATCAACTCAACAGCAGCAGGTAAAGGTTAAAACTATTTTTTTGTGTTCATTGATCATTTCTGTTTCTTAGGAAAATTGCCTGCTCATTGTTCTTTGTTGGAATATTTGGCTTGTGTGTGTGTGTGTGTGTTTTACTTAATGATTTGTAAGTACTTTTCTGTATTCTAGCAAATCGCTGTCTAGCATAGCTGTTGCATTCATTTTACTGATTTTTAAAACTTGTTTATCTCTCTGACCTTCAGATTGGATAATTTGTTACTGATACATCTTCAAGTTTACTTAGTCTGTTCCCTGTCATCTCTATCTTGCTACTAAGCCTATACACTGAATTTCTTAATTCAAATATTGGGTGGTTTTCAAAATTTTTTTTAGTTAAACATGTTCATTTGGTTCTTTTTTTTTATATGTTCTAAAGCCTCAGAGTCCTGGTGTGGCTCTGTGGGCTAATGCATCAGAGTGCAAAGTCATTTCAACTGTAAGGTCGGTGCTTTGAGCTCACCAGCTACTCCTGGAAACTCTATACAGGGTCGCTATGGGTCGGAATCGACTTGACAGCACTTAACAACAAAAAAGCCTCGGAAGCCCTGCACAAGGTCGCTATGAGTTGGAACCAATGCCTCGGTACTTAACAACAACCAGTTATCAGCATACAGTTATTCTTTTATTTTTACAAATTTATTTTCTTTTACTTTACTGAGCATAGTTATCATTGTTGTTGTTGTTAAGTGCCCTGGAGTTAGTACCAAACCTTATACAGGGTTTCCAAGAAGCAGCTGGTGGGTTTGAAGCGCTGAAGTCTGGTGTTTATCCTACAGCATCACACTGCCTTAAAGTCCTTGTCTAATTATTTCAACATCTGAGTTATGTTAAGATTGGTTGGTGGGTTGGTTATGTGCTGTGGAGTCAGTTTTGATTCATAGTGACCCTGTATAGGATTTCCAAGGCTCTGAATCTTTACGGGAGCCTCATCTTTCTCCTGCAGAACCGCTGCTAGTTTCGAACTGCTGACCTTGAGATAAGCAGCCTGACTCATAACCACTACGCTGTCTTTTCCCTTGAGGATGTCATGTTTTCTGGTTCTTTGTATGTTGAGTAATTTTTTATTGTATCTTGAACATTAGGCACATCTAGATTCTGTTATTTTCAGCAGTCTAGCTATGGGTTAATGCGCCAGACTGCAAAGCCGTTTGAACTGCAAGGTTGGCAATTAAAGCTCACCAGCTGCTCCTTGGAAACCCTATACAGGGTTGCTATGAGTCTGAACGGACTCAATGGCACTTAACAAGAACAACATACATGCATACTTCAGAGTTTATGTCTGAATCTGGGGTTCCTTTTATCTGGTCCTCTTCTTTCCAGGATTTCTCCCTCACTCTCTAGTAATTCTAGTTGACTCAGGCTCTGTTTCTTTATTTCTCACTCAGAAGATTGAGTTGTCTGGAGTTTTGTTTACCCAGCACTTAACCACAATGGGAGTCTGTCTTTAAGGCAGTCACAAAAAGTTCAACTCACCCCATGCTCACTGCTTCTTCCAAGTTTTAATTTCCCTCCAAATCTTCCTGTTTTGCTCACTCTGCAGAGCCCTCAGATAGCTTTTGGGTTTTTGGATTTTTTTTTTCTTTCAGTTTTTTTGTTGCTATTTGAGGAAGGGTCCACCTGTTAAGAGATTACAGTGTCCATACAAGGAGCAGAGATCCATTTAATTAATTATTGATATCTTTGGTATATGTAAGTTGAATACATTTATATAGTCAGCTTCATCAAGCATTTCTTTTATGGCTTCTGAAGTTGGTATTTTGTTTAGAACTGTTCTTTCCCCTTCACAAGTACAAGACTTTTTTTTTTTTTTTCCCCAAGCTGGATAGAGTTTAGATTTATATCATCTTCAAGTTGGGCCCCAAACTGCCAAAGCTGGTAATAAAATAGCTGCAGTAGAGATAGAGAGGGGGAAAGGGGGGCAGATTTAAGGGATGGAATGAGTAAAATGTTAGCTGATGGGCGGTTCCTGGAGAGGGGGAGGGAGAAGATACAAGGTGACTAGCAATGCCATGGATGAAGGACATTTTAGGAAGCTGTCTTTCTGAGACAGTTTCAGCCAGAACTGTCCCTCCACTTCAGGTTCACATCAAGTACAGAAATGTACCCCAGCAGGATGCAGAAGAAAGACTTGGATGTGTTTGTCTTCCAGGTAGCTGGATCAAACCTAGATTCACCCATTCTCAGGCAAGAGAGTAAGGTGGTCAAGGGCCTAGGCTTTGGAGTTAACATCTTTCACGTAGAGCTAAAAATCAACTCTGCCATTAATTGCTTCACCTTTCTGCACTTCAGTTTTCTCATCTACAAAATAGGAATAGAAATAGTACCTATCTTTATATAATGCAGTGAGGGTTTAAGTGAGAGGATGCTGGCAAAGGCTCAGCACAGCACTTTCAGGGCAGAGCTCTGGTATTTGCTGCTCACCTGCTGCATGGTCTTGGGCAAGCTTTGCAGTCTGTGGTTCTGTCTTCAGGAATTTCCATGTCTGGAATGAAGCCTGGTTTGCCCGGACAGACGTGGGACCCGCCTACAGTGGATGGCAGGTGTTGGACGCGACTCCTCAGGAAAGGAGCCAAGGTAAGCCCTCTGCTGGCTGTTGACTAGAGCTTTCTCAGGGTTTGCTCTAAGACCCAAGCCTTTCCTGGTTATTTACAGTAGTGAACAGCAGTACAGGAAATGAATCAAAAGCCCCTTCCCCTCCCCCCTGAGATAAACATGGGCTTAAGACAAAATTATTTTAGAAAGAGATTTCCCTTCCTAATTTTGTTTGGGCCAAGCTGTATTTAAATAAGGAGCTTTGGTACCGTAATGGTTACAAATGGGGCTGCTAACCTCAAGGTCAGCAGTTCGAAACTTCCAGCTGTTCCGCGGGAGAAAGATGACGGGTTTTGCTCCCGTAAAGATTTACAGCCTTGGAAACCCTGTACAGGGTCACTATGAAGTCGGAACCGAGTCCACGGTACACATAACAACAACATATTTAAATAAGGAGCTTTGGTAGTGTAGTGGTTACTAATTGGGCTGCTAACCTCAAAGTAGATGAGGCTTTCTGCTCCCATAAAGATTTACAGCCTCAGCAACACTGTACAGGGTCGGTATGAGTCAGAACCAACTCCACAGCACACCACCACCACTATTTAAATGAGTGCTTTCCCTGCGCTAACAGCAGCAACAACACTGGCTCCTGGGCCTGTAGAGTAAGCACTGGACTGTTAACCACAAGATCAGCAGTTTGAGCCCACCAGCCAGCCACTCCAAAGGATAAAAATGAGGTTTCTACTCCGGTGAAGATTTACAGCTTCAGAACAGGGTTGGCTTGCTATGAGTTGGAACTGACTCAACAACACCTAATAACAACAATAACAATTGTGTTTGTCTCCGGCTACTATTTAATGAGTGCCTTCCTTCCCCTGTACCCACACTGGCTTCTGGGGCTGCTGCCCTGGGGGAGGAGGAGCCCTGGCACATGTCAGGCAAGAGGACAAAGCCTTCCTCTGCCAGCAATCATGTTTCTGAACCACCTCTTATAGCTTAGTCCTCCCAACGCAGAAACTTCTTATTCTCCATGACCATGGGGATTTTGCTCAAATTCTTCGGTTCAGCTCTAGGCCATTCACGATCATGCCCCTACCACTCTTTCTCACCTTTACTGTGGTTACTCTGCCAACCCACGCTCTCCTGTGGGCAGGCCAGCTCCTTCCTGTCCTTGGCCTGTGCTCACAGGCGCCCCCTGCTGCCTCTCAGCAGCCTCTCCTCTTTCCTCAGGTGTCTAGAGCATGTAGGAGGTCTGCTATATTACTTTTGAGTTGTTTTCTTTAAAAAAAACACACACACACAAAAATAACCCTGTAAAAGTAATCTGTGCACATGGTTTTCAAAATATTAAGACAGTTCTAAAATGATTTATAATAAAAATTAAGTCACACCGACACCTTAGTCTCTAGCCCACCACCCAGAAGCAAAACATGTTATGGGAGTTTTGAAAGAAGTGTAACTTTTCAAATTATTTTTTATCAGGGCCACTATTTTCCAAACTTCTCATTGAAATCCATTAAACAAAACAAAGCAAAAAACAATAGTGGTTATAAAATCAAGTTAGCTAATTATGACCATCATTTTAAATATGGAACAAGAGGGAATGAAAAGGAAACAAGTTTTTTCTAAAAGGGAAAAGAAAATATCAGGAAGCACTGCTATTTCAGTATAATCTGTGTGTCAAAATATTAAAAAGTTTTTTTTTTCTGGAAATTATGGTAAAAAAAAAAAAGAAGAATGTATTTATGTTTTATTTATTTGTTCTGTAAAAAAAGTAGAAGAAGAATGTATGTATGCATGCGTGTTTTATTTATTTGTTCTGTAAACACAGATGGAATCATACTCTTCTTTCTATCCTTCGCTACTTCATAAACGAAACTACGCATATCTGAGCTATTACCCTGAGTGCTAGAGTCTTGGTGTGGTGCTGTAGGATAAGCACTGTACTGCTAACCTCCAGGTTGGCAGTTCACACCCGCCAACCACTCCTCAGAAACCCTATACAGGGTTGCTATGAGTCGGAACTGATTTGATGACACTAAACCCTGAGTGCTGGGGAGGGAGGCTGATGGTGCCTCCCAGGAGCAGGAGAGTGATGGGCCTTGTAGGGTAAAGTGGTGTGGAGGGGAGAGAGGCAGTATCCTGGAGTGTGAGGCAGCATGGCTTTCCTCTTTAGGAAGCAGACTGAGGGCAGTAGGTCAGCATGGATGGTTTACCCATAGAATGCAGCATTGGGCCAGTCTTGTGAAGAACTGGAGTTTGGCTAGGGTGCTGTTGCAGAAAGATCAAGTAACCCAGGAGGGTCTGTGCTGAGCGCCAAAGGGGGTGAGCGGACAGTCAGATTTGGGATGGAATAGAGACAGAGTGGTTAGGGTGATTGTAGGAGACTCTTGGGAGGAACAGACCTGGGGTGGGCTGCTGTCAGTGGTCTCACCCTGTGCGCTCTGCTCACCAGGGGTGTTCCAGTGTGGCCCTGCCTCAGTCATCGGGGTCCGAGAGGGTGACGTGGACCTGGACTTTGACATGCCCTTCGTTTTTGCGGAAGTCAATGCTGACCGCATCACCTGGATCTACGATAATAGAAGCAACACTCAGAAGAAGAATTCCTCGGATACGTATTCTGTGGGCAAGTACATCAGCACCAAGGCCGTGGGCAGCAACTCCCGAATGGACATCACGGAAAAATACAAATACCCTGAAGGTAGGAGAGTCAGCTGTCCCGTCCACAGCTTTGCAGGTGGGAAGGAGTCCAGGTCCTGTCCTCTCCCTCTCGCCTCCTCAGCCAGTTCTGCCTGAATGGTAGGATTACTCCCAGTACCTAATGCCCAACTCCCCAAACTGTTTTCCATGAGGACAGAACCATCCCCAGCAGATGTCTGCTGGTGGAAGTTTGCCAAAGGTCATGGGTACCATTGCCAGCTGGATCCCTTTGCCAATTGTACAGCTGGTGTGACAGCTCCTTGACCAAGCCTCACAGGAGAAACATTGCTCCATGTAAGGACCCCAAGGACTTTCCAGGAGGGCCTTCTAAACCAGCTGCTCCCCTAGCCTCTGAGAAACATAGGCAGAAAACAAAATCAAACCTGTTACCTCCAAATTGACTCGGAATCATGGTCACCCCATGTGTTATAGAATAGAACTGCTCCATGTGGGGAGAGGAGATTATTTTCAGTCATTTCAAACTCATTCGTGGCATTGTTGGGTGGGTTTGAACCACTAACATTTAGGTTAACAGTTGCACAAGAACTGTTTGCTCCACACGGGGACCTCAGGCAGGAAACACCATCTGGAAGAAAAAAAAATGAGCCAAGGCTTGGCCTGTGCTGTGCCTCCCAGGTGTCCCAAGAAGCCACATGAGGTATGAACTTCAGTTCCTTGTAGAACCCTCTGGAAGGCTGGTGCCCACAGGCTGCCTTTCCCTAAAAGACATTTGCTGCTCCATTTCAGAAGTGGGCATCAGAGCCAGCACATACCTCTTTGAGAATTTTCAGTAGTGACAAAAGTTCTGCATTTAAGGGCAAAGTTTATTTTTAGAAATAGCCCATAGTAATTTACAGCTCTCTAATAGGTGGCAGCCAACATTTCACTTTTTACAAAATGCTTTGAAATAGTTGCTTCCATCGATCCTCACTGTCGCATCTGAGGGCTTAGGAAAAATGCTCACACTACGGTGTTCCCAGGAAGTCCTACAGCCCCGCTGTTTGTGGTCTTGACTGTATTTTATCAAAGAGGTGCTGGAGATGAGACGTTTTGAGTCATGGCTCTAGTTAATGAGATCAGTGGCCTCGGTTTGGCCCCTGCTCTAGTTCTGAAGGGCATCCCCAGGGTCTGATGTCAGACAGACAGACCTTCTTTAAGTCAATAAACCTTTACTGAGTGCATGACTCTGCCTTGGCCCAGGCACTGTGGTGAGGAGCATCACAAATAGAACCTCTGCCTTTGGGGAGCTCGTAGTCCAGGGAAGCGGGGGAGGCAGACATTGTTGTTGTTATTGTTGTTAAATGCTGTCAAGTCAGTTCTGACTCACAGCAACCCTGTATAGGGTTTTCAAGGCTTTAAATCTTTTTGGGAATAGAATATCTCAGAGCAGCTGTTGAACTCAAACCACTTATCTTGTGGTTCACTGTCCAGTGCTTATGCTACCGAACCACTGTGCTCAGCGTCCAGGGGCTCAGGAAAGGTAGACAGAGGACAAGCATTGTCATCACGTGTGATGACAGAAAAGTTCAGGGCTCCAGGGGACAAATAACTTGGGGCAGGGGGTGAGCACCAGTCCCACCTCTTAAAACCAGGCAAGCTCAGACAGGTTTCCTTTTATCTCTGATCCCTGCTTTCCTCATCTGTAAAATGTGACTAGTAATGCCTGTCTGGAGTCCGATTTAAATGAATGCATGCACCCAGAAGCACCTCAGAAGAAAAATCTGGTGATGTACTTTGAAAAAAAAACAGCCATTAAAAGCCCAATGGGACAGAACTCTACTCTGGCACATGAATGAAATCAACTTGATGGCAACTGGTCTGGTCAATGTCCACAAAGGACCAAGTACAGTCCCTGGCACATAATAAGGACTTAGTAAATAGAGTGATAGCTTGTATTTGTTTGAACATCTACAGCCTCATTGAAATAGTGGGTTCCCAAGGTGATTGTTTCGAAGAATACTGGTGATGTGGATTAGGATCTTGGGATTTCTTCCCTTAGTGCCATGCCTTCCCCCTACTTCCCAAGAGCTCGGACTGCCCCAGCTTAGCCCTCTGAGCTATGCAGCCATGGCCAGGATGGCAGATGCCTTTAGGACTTCTGATGGTGTTCCAGCCCTTGCGTGACAACGGGTTGTTCATACTGCCTGCTGTTGTCCATCTCTCCTTACCCAATGATACCAAGTTGTTTCTAAGGACCCGAGGGTGGAAAAGCTCATAAAACGGGTTGCTAAGCATTTGCGCAATAGTAATACCAGAGAGAGAAGACAGCAGCAGGAAGTGTAGCGTTGAGTAAGCTCAGCAGGTGACCTACATAGGTATCTAGGCTCTGAACTTCATTGTACAAACACACCTGCTTCGAGTTCTTGGCCACGAAAGGCAAGGGCTCAGATCCTGCACAACCATCGGCTCTGGGTGTGGACTTACAACTCGACTGGGAATGGGCAAGCACCAGAGGGAACCCAGCCCACCAGGAGACACCAGTTCCGGTAATCTGCCTGCCTCCTTTTCAGTAGGGTCTGGTGGGAGGAGCCTTAAACCCGGATTCCAGACCTGGGGATTGGCCCCATCTACCTCTACTCCCCAGAGTGGCCTGGACAAGTTGTTTTTCCTGTTAGAGCCTTAACTCTATCATGATAGGCTTGGGGGAGTCGTTCACCTGAGGCCTCTACCGAGGCAGCATGTAACTTATGGGTAAGAGTAAGTTGTGAAGTGAGTATTAGTAAATCAACTGGTGTGTTGTTTATAAGCTTGGGGAAAGGTGGGGAATGTAAGTGTGGTCTGCAGATGGAAAATGCTCTGCCCTTGTTCCTTCATCTCAGGCCTGTCTCCACATGAAGGCAGAGGCCCTATGGGAACCGCTGACTCAGTCCCAGCTGACACTTGGACTTGGTTACTCAAGTCTCAATACCAAGGCAGCAGTGAGCTCCAGGGCACAGCCTGGTCCCTTTCTGTGGGCTGTTATACCACGGCATTCACCAGCATCCCTCTTCTTAGTCAGAGTCAGAAAACCTGTCCTTTAATTCAGCTCTGTGTGAAACCTGAAATTTCTCAATAATTTGCACTAATTATAACTTGGAAACCATACCAACCCTGAGACGTTCTTGTCATCCAACACAGATAAAAGAGCCACTGGGAACACTTACGGTGGCTCTGAGAACAAGTCAAAAGAACACAGTTAAGAGGTTTTGAATGTTTTTGTTTAATTTTTTTATTTTAATTAAATTAAATCTAAACTTGTAACTTTGTTTTTACCCCAATAACTTAGTCTAACCTTCTTCAACTCTAATGTTTGTTCTTAGGTCTCACAAGAGACCTTTTGTGAAAGAAACAATGAAATCATTAGCATAATGAGCAAATTATTGACTTGACTTGACTCATTAGCATAATGAACCAATTATTCAGCCTCAGAGTAATTTTACGCAGGTCCTTTTAACTTCTTGGGAATATAGAGCTGGTTGGAAGACACCAGACTAGGTGGTTAAAGAGGACGGCGTGTGTCCTGGGCAAGTTGGACATTGGTGTGGAGTGATGGCCTTGGAGCAGCAGGAGAACCAGGACTGGACCTGCCCGCCTCTCTGGACGGGACTCCATCCACAATCCAGGTGCTAACACTTTGTCCCTAAGATGTTCCTTTCCTTTCCACCCTCACCAGGTTCACCTCAGGAAAGACAAGTTTTCGATAAGGCTTTGGGAAAACTTAAACCCAACCGGTTGTTCAACCCAACATCCTCAGGGGGCTTCGAGAGAGGGGAGCGGGAGCCCAGCATCTCTGGAAAGTTCAAGGTCACTGGCATTCTGGCAGTGGGCCAGGAAGTCAACCTGGCCCTGATCCTGAAGAACCTGACAAGTGACATGAAGACTGTGATGGTGCACATGACAGCCTGGACCATCGTCTACAATGGCACACTTGTACATGAGGTGTGGAAGGACTCTGTCACTATATCCATGGACCCTGAAGAAGGTAACTTGTTCTGTAGCTTGTTTCTTGGGCTGGAGCAGCCCTCTGTGATGAACTCTTGAGCTTTGATCCTTTGGACGGTGTTGTCACCATGAACAGTACAACTTAGGGTGGTGCCTACCCAAATCCTTTTGTACCCTGGGGGAGGGAGGCACTGTTGGTTAATGGCCACACCATCAGTGTACTGTATTGGGATGCACCACTATACAGTTTACAGTGCGCTTCCTTATATACCATCTCGTCTGTCATCCCCATCTTACTCATTGACATCAAGTTGATTCCTCCTCATGGCGAACCCAACCCATGGGCTACAGACTAGAACTGCTCCATAGCGTTTCTGTATGGAAGCAGGCCGACAGGCCCTTCTTCTGGGGGAGCTGTGGGCTAGGGTTAGGTTAGCAGGCACCACAAACTACTTGCTCCACCCCTCATCTTACAGAGGCAGAAACTGAGGCTTAGAGAGATGAAGTAACTTATTTAAGAGGTTAAGTGTCACAGATACTAAATGGCAATGCTGACAATGCTTGGCCCAAGGGTTGATGGCAGTGCCAACCCGTCCTCAATGTTGCATCACTGCCACCCTTTCCCCAGACCACCTGTCACTTCACGCCACCTCCACCCTAACCCCTGTAACAGGTCTGTCCCTGAAAGGGTTGCAGTATGCCACAGACTCTTGAACCTGTGACCCCCTTTCCTCCCACTGCTGATCCCTGACATCAGTAGCAGGCTTGCTTGGAGGTCTGAGCATTAGGGAGGAACCGTGTCTTCTTGTCCCTGGGTAGCACAGATGGGATGGGAGCAAGGTGGAGCAGAGAAAGCTGCAGATGGATTAGAATGCAGGTGTGCCCACATTGGCAAAATCCTCCAAGCTGTTATGAAAAGTTTGAACTTACAAAGCAGATTAACAGGGGTGGGGTAGTTATTTGCTTCACATACGGAACTAATAAAAAAAATGATTAATTATACAGCCCATCTTGAAAGGATTCTGTCTGCAGAGGCACCAAGACCTGTTACACCTGTCAAAGCCAGCATCCCCCCCTGCAATCTGTCTGTGGGCAGGATTTTAGCAGAAATCTCAGTATCAGCAGTGACTACCTGGCTGTTATTTACCACTAAAGCTCAAAGGAAGAACTATTTTTGTAGGCCAGGAATCATTCTCCGGAGGGAACTGGTTAAGAAAACATACCTGAGAGACAACAGAGTGACTAGGGAGGGGTGAGGAGGCAGGCAAGCAGTTCTAGGGTATTGAGGTATATATGACCCTGGCTTGGTCTCATTCTCTTTAGAGAGCCCGTGTTCACTGTGTGTGAGGGTGGGGCCAGTTACCCTCAGACCTGTCAGCCACACTTTGGGCAGCCTTCTTCCCACAGTCTAGCTAAAGGAGCATCCAGTATGTGGGTACCACCAGTGATGCATAACAGCATGGAGGAGAGAAGGCAGTGCACATGAGAAAAACTGATTAATGCGCAAACAAACATAAAAAGTCTTAGCAAGAAGCCATGTCTGGCTGGTGCATGGACCTTTTGAAAGCAGGAGAAACCAGAGATGGGAAGGAGGTTTGGATACTGCTACAACAGAATCGGAGACTATGGGATGACATAGGAGGAAGCCAAACATTTAGTCAAAACCCTGGCTTCCCTTCACGGTTATTACGGTTGTTGCCATCGTTACTATTATTATCATTAGGTAACTAGTCAAAATTTGTGTTCTCCCCTGCCCCTTGCAAGAAAATGCACCCTCTTGACATTTTCTAGGAGGGGGAAGAAAAAAGCAAGAATTTCTATCCATATAAACCCATCCTTCTGGGAATCTGCCCATACAAACAAGAGACCTAGTCTCCCCCAGCCCAACCAGGAGCCCACACAAGATTGAGGACAGTTCCCATAGAGGCTGGTCCAAGGAAGGCCTTAGCAAAGTCCAGCCTTGCAGGGATGTCTGACCAACTCCCACTACTTGGCTCTCATCAGCTTCTGCAGAAGGTTACAAGCCAGCCCACCCTAATCCCCTCTCATGTCTTCTCCCCTTGCTTCTCCTTCTAGAAACACAGTACCCTGTGAAGATCCCATATGCTGAGTATGAGAAGCATCTGAAAGCCGACAACATGATCCGTATCACAGCCGTGTGCAAGGTCCCCGACGAGGGCGAGGTGGTAGTGGGGCGAGACGTCATCCTGGACAACCCTGCCCTGACCTTGGAGGTGAGGCCCTGGCACTAAGGCAGGGGTGGTGGAGAAATGCCTCCCGCTAGTCCATTCCATGAGCCCTGCCAGCCCTCTGTGAGCCACACACACAGGGAGAGGCAGATCCAAGTGCTAATCAGGTTCAGTCTCTGCCAGCCAGACAAGCCAAGGACTGCTCCCACCCCAGTTGGTGCTCTCAGCCCTGGCTGGTGAGATGACACATTGGGGAGATCACCTGAGGGGGACTTGAAGGTCCCTCTCCAGCACACACCCCTCTCTCAGGGACTAAGCACCAGCTGTGTCAAGCCCTGTGCCAGGTTATGGAGCCATAGAGAGGCACAGTGTGGGTTCTGTTTACAGCCCACAGTCCAGCTTGGACATGTTTGTGTCAAAACCAGGAAGTGGCTTGACTCATAGTACGTCTCCACTCTCCAACCTGGCGTGACAGATGCTAGACTTTTGAGAGCTTCTTCTCATGCTCCCTTGCCCTGCCATTTGACACATGAGTATACCAAGACCACCAGAGGAGAAGGGACAAGCCAATTCCTGCCAGGACCAGGGCTAGACCTCAGGTGGGGACTCCCAGAGCAGTGTTCTTTCCAAAGCATCATGGGGTGTCGAGAAGTCAGCAAAGGCATCCTCAGAATACTTTGCAGCCCAGGGTGAGAGTGAGGACTCCCTTTTACTCTGCTTCCTTTGGTGTTCAGGCCCAGGCAGGTGGAGGGTGCCAGGGTGAGGCAACAGCAAAACTCTGTGGGGCCAGGGACTTGGCAGGGTCTTCCTTTGGGGTCTCACGGAGAACCTCATGAGCCAGGTTTCTCCTCGTCTACTGTATCTGCTATCTGCCCCCGCTATCTAGACAGTAACCATATTCCAATTACAGTGTCTGCAGCATCCCAAACCCAGATTCTCAGAGGAGCCAGATGAACCCTGGCCCCACCCCTCTCTAAGCTGCTAGATTAGCAGCCATCACAAACAAAACCTCAATGAAGAGGTTCCTGACCATAGTCAGAGGGCATGGGAACCAAGGAGTCCCACCAGACATTCAGCCACAAGGTGCCTCCTCTGGTGGAGACCCCTGGGGTTCCCGGACAGCTAGTCCTTGCTGGAGCCCCTTTACCATCCTGACTGGTTTACACTGTGCTGCAGAATGGGAGACAGCCCCACCTAAGAACTAGGGTGTCAGCAACTGGACCGTCTTTTGGAAGTAGCAGGCATTTCAGAGAAACGTACTCCATTTCTGTACACAGGATGTATAGCTGAGTGTCAACACCAGTTCCTGAGGAAATGATGCCGAGTAACTGCTAGTATCATTATTAAAGCATTCTGCACTAACGTGACCAGTGTTTAAATGAAATCAGATGTCCCACCAACAACAACACCATCACCATTATATACCTTTACCCAGTGTCTTCAAACTTTACAGGCCTATCTTTTTTTTTTTTTTTTAGCATTTTAATTCTGCATTTGGATTTCCATTTCAAGTTGAATTTATCTTTAAAGATACCATAATATCCTTAAAAAGAAAATCAGCATATACAAAGGCTAGAGATGTGCCATCAAGAAATTTCTCATTTCATCTTTTCAAAAGGCACTTGATCTTTCTTCTTTCATGTATTTCTGTGTGAATTTCCTCCAAGTCCGCTCTCTCCTCTTTAAGCCTTCAGAGAAGCAAGACATCCTTGTCTTGAGTGAATGAATCAATGCATAGCTCTTTCAGAGCAGGGGGCATGTTCCTAAACTTCAAAGGTGAGCTGCATGAAAAGATAACAATCTGAGCAAAGTTGTGTTATCTCCTCAGCACCAACTGGCAGTTAGCACCGAGAATATTGGATGTGGAATCAGGTCATAAAATCTGAACATCTTTCTACAGGATGGTATCCTTGAAGTTGACCCATGAATGACTAGTGCTCAGACATAGTTTTCAGGCTACCCTTAGTTCCTTTGGATCCTTTTACAGATTTGAATCATAAGGACAGAGAGGTAAACATCAATAAAATGAGAAAAACAATCTCATAGAAAGCTTTAAAGAATTGGTACAATTTATATAGTTTTGTCATATCCCAATAATATGAAATTGTTTCACTTTTCAGATTGTGTCATACACTTAGGTGAGTTCCATGTTAGCAATTACAGTATAGAGGCTCATCTTGACAATATTTTAATTATTCACAAATCATTGAGAGGCATTACAAGGCCTAGTGAAAAAAAAGCAAAGACCTTGGAACCAGTTGGACCTTGCCATTGACTAGTGTTTGAACTTGGCCAAGTTACCAAATCAGTCTGAACTGCAGGTGTCTCACTGTGAAATGGTTTCTGTTGCTGTTGTTGTTGTTGTTGTTGTTGTTGTTGTTGTTGTTGTTAGGGGCCGTCAAGTGAGCTCCAACTCATAGCGACCCTATGCACAATAGAATGAAACACTGCCTGGTCTTGTGCCACCTTCACAATTGTTATGTTGGAGCCCATTGTTGCTGCCACCATGCCAATCTACCTCATTGGGTGTCTTCCTCTTTTTCGCTGACCGTCCATTTTACCAAACATGATGTCCTTCTCCAGGGACTGCTGCCTCCTGATAACATGTTCAATGTACGAGAGATGTAGTCTTGCTATCCTTGATTCTAAGGAGCGTTCTGGCGATAGTTCTAAAACAGATTGGTTTCTTCTTCTGGCAGTCCACTTTCAGTATTGTTCTCCAATACCATAACTCAAATGCATTGATTCTTCTAAGGCCTTCCGTATCATTGTCCAACTTTCACATGCATATGAGGCAGTAGAAAATGCCGTGGCTTGGGTCAGGCATACTTTAGACCTCAAACATATCTTTGTTCTTTAACACTTATAGGAGGTTTTTTTTGCAGTAGATCTGCCTAATGCAATAAGTCCTTTGGTTTCTTCCTTCATTTTTTTTTTTACCTTTTTATTGTGAATTGAGTAAAGGTTTACAGAGCAGATCATCCGTTTTACATTCAATAAATTATATACTTTGCTTCATTACAATGATTGCAATCCCCTCCATGTACCAACAGTTAGTAATATTTTCCTAAATTCACTTTAACTATTGCATGCCTCCTTGTGTCTCCCGCTATATTCATCTTTCCTCTGCTAACCTCCCTCTTGTTATATATTGCCTGCCTTGTCACCCATGTTAACATATGTCTACCATCTTGCTCATGAATAATTTTCCCTCCTTCCTCCCCCATAAAGTCATTTGATTTCTTGACTTCTGCTTCCATAACTATTAATTGTGGGATTTAAGCAAAATGAAGTTTCTGACAACTTCAATGTTTTCTCCATTTATCATGTTATTCATTGTGAGGACTTTTTTTTTTTTTTTTTCATTTTCTTTACACTGAGGTGCAATCCGTATTGAAGGCTGTAGTCTTTGATTTTCATCATTAAATATTTCAAGTCCTTTTCACTTCCAGAAAGCAAGGTTGTGTCATCTACATGTTGCAGGTTGTTAATGAGTCTTCCTCCAATCCTGATGCTATGCTCCTCTGTATATAATCCAGTTTCTCAGATTATTTGCTTAGCATACATATTGAATAAGCACGGTGTAAAAGGATATAACTCCTGGCACACATCTTTCCTGATTTTAAACCATTCACTATCTCCTTGTTCAAACAATTGCCTCTTGGTCTATGCACAGGTTTCTTATGAGTTCTGGAATTAAGTGTTCTGGAATTCCCATTCTTTACAATGTTATCTGTAGTTTGTTCTGATCCACACAACTTTTGCATAGTCTTTAAATCACAAGTAAACTTCTGGTATTTTCTTTGATCCAAGATTTATCTGATGTCAGCATGTCCTCTTCTGAACCCAGCTTGAATTTCTGGCAGCTCCTTATTGATGGACTGTTGCAATTGATTTTGAATTATACTCAGCAAAATTTTACTTGCATATGATATTAGTGATATTGTTAGATGATTTCCACATTCTGTTGGGTCACCTTTCTTTGGAATGGGCATTAATATGAATTTATTCTAATTGATTGGTCAGATAGCTGTCTTCCAAATTTCTTGGCACAGCAAGTGGGCACCTCCAGCACTGCATTACTGTGTTGAAGGATTCAATTTGTAATCCATCAATTCCTGGACCCTTGTTTTTCACCAATGCCTTCAGTACAGCTTGGACCTCTTCCCTCAATATCATCTGTTCTTGATCATATGGTACCCCCTGAAATGGATGAACATCAGCCAGTTCTTTTTGGTACTTGACTCTGTGTATTCTTTCCATTTTCTTTTTATGTTTCCTGCATCGTTCAATATTTGGTACATTGTTGTTGTTGTTGTTAGGTACCATCGAGTTGGTGCTGACTCATAGCGACCTTATGCACAGCAGAATGAAACACTGCCCAATCCTGGGCCAACCTCACTATTGTTGCCACACTTGAGGCCATTGATGCTGCCACTTGGCTAATCCATCTCCCTGGGGGGGTCTTCCTCTTTTTCTCTGAGCCTCCACCTTACCAAATATGATATCCTTGTCCAGCGACGGGTCCTTCCTGACAATACGTCTGAAGTATGAGAGACAAAGTTTGGCCATCTTGGCCTCCAAGGAGCACTCTGGCTACACTTCTTCCAACACAGATCTGTTGGTTCTATGGGCAGCCCATGGCACTTTTAATATTCTCCTCCAACACCACGACTCAAAAGCATCAATTCTTCTACAGTCTTCCTTATTTACTGTCCAACTTTCACATGCATATGAGGTTATTGAAAATACCATGGCTTGGGTCAGGCGCACTTTAGTCCTCAAGCTGACATCTTTGCTTTTCAACGCTTTAAAAAGGTCTTGTGCACAAAGAATCCTTCAATATTGCAACCTGAGGTTTGAACTTTTTCTTATTTTTTCAGCTTGTGAAATGCTCAATGTGTTCTTCCCTCTTGGTTTTCGAACTCCAGTTCTTTGCATATTTCATTATAATACTTTACTTTGTCTTC